TGTTTTATGATGGACAGCCTATGATACAAGATTCAAGGAAATCTAAGACAAAATGGTTACTAGTCAATCCCTAAATTCAAAATTTAAGTTCTACTGTTTTGCTATATGGGATAAAAATAAGTATCACATGCATTATTTGTTAGGGGATACCCCAGAGATGGTCCAAGAAGCCCTTAACAGTGGGCCAAGCAATGAGTTCTCATTTAATCTCTGCTAACAACTGTCTGATCTTTGTTATATCATTTAACTCCATGGGGCTCAGTCTCTTCATCTGAATCAGGATTAGATCATCTTTATTGACCCCACTCCTTCAGAGTTAAAATCTTCTGGGTTTAGTATCTTTTACTGTCACTATGGAAGGAAAAAAGGAATATAGCAAAACCCAAACAGAAAAGTTACTTGGTTTTACATAAAGTTCAAAAACAAAAAATTGAGGGTTACCAGTTTAAAAACTGGATTTTGAGATTAAACAACAAATGCTGTGAGATTTGTTTTATAAGTATGTATGAATTCTCATAATCTTTAGTTTAAAGAAACAACTTTATTGTTAGCATGAAAGGAGAAAAATGGGCATCATCAGAATAATTTGAGGAAAACATATTTGGACATTCTTAAAACCCAAGTCAGACAACGTAAATGAAGTAAAGCAAGTTTAAATATCTTAGAGATGCAATAAGTACTATGGAATTTGAAAAGGTGGTAGTTACCTAATTATAAAAATTGAAAGTTAAAATCATTTCAAAACAGTCTTTTATACAAGATGAAAATAAAGAGAGAATAATCTGTCTACTTGAATGAGAGAACGAAAAAACTTTGAAAATCGATAATCTGGTCAACGATGTATCTTTGTAATTATATACAAGCCTCAAGGACAAATTACTAACCTCAAAATGTGGTTAGTAATAAACAACAATTACATCATCATCTAATTCAATCTTTATTTTTTTTTAAAAAGTAGCCAAAATAATTGATATAGGAACAGAGATATCATAACTCAGAAAATAGAAATTTTAAATAGACAATTGCAAAAAGGAGATAATAGAAAGTATTTCTGTTTGCAATGAAAAGTTACAGGTTTGCTTATTTCCAAATACTCTCTTTCTCTGGGAATCATACTAGTTGAGCTTCTCAATGACAGATTTACAGATGTTGAAAGGTAGTGATCATTACTATAAATTATAATCTCAAAGCAATAAAATCTAGAAGAATCCTTATTTACCCAGTGAGATTATTGTGATGGCAGAATAGCAAAGTTATTTTCTTTCTTTGCCCTCTTATTAGATGCATGACCCTATGCAAGTTACTTAACTTCTCCAAACTTTAGTTTGCTCATCAGTAAAATCAGGATAATAAAAGTATCTAACTCAGAGAATTTGGGGTTTAAATAAAAAACTATGTATAAGAACACTCTATAATTTTTTAAAAAATTATTATCTAAAATACTAAACAATCAGGTATCTTTAGCAATTGTATTCCAAGCCATTAAGCAAAAACAAAAAAAAGAAAGAAAGAAAGAAAGAAAGAAAGAAAATGGGTTTACCTAGATTCCTATAATGAAGTTACAAATCTTATTTAGAAAATGGACAACTTAAGGGAATTCACTTTATCCTTATTCTAATTAGTAAAGCACAAAGGTAACATATTAGCTCTTACAGTAATAATATATTCATATGGAGCCCCACCTCCTTTATTTAATTTTCCCTGGCTCTAAGGCCACACATTTCTGATATGAGAACAGACTGGCACACTGAGCCAAAGAACTACATATTAAACATAATCCCTATTGGTTTTAATTAACTGGATAGGTTACTTTCCTGAAAACAGCATATATCTTTTTAATCCTAACATATATCTCTGGGAGAAATAAATTAAATTCTAAAACTTCAAAAGTAGTCAGGATTCCAAAGAGACTCACTTTATTTTTATTTTGGTAATCTTATCTGAAAGAAATTTGTTAAACTCAGTGACCTGTGATTGGCTTATATCACTATTATATACCTCCACCCACCATGATACCATGTGTTCCTTATATACTTAGAAGTAGCAAATGAATTGCCTGGACTGGATCACCATTATATTCCACATAAATTTAATTAAGAGAAAGAAAATGTGTACTCTAAAAGGCAGAATAGTTAAAAAGAGAGGGTAGTCTTGCCTTCAAGTATCTGCAAAGATCATGTTAACAAATAATTCATCTTCCCTGCTAAGTGATAAGGAGGCAGATTTTAATGTAATATAAAAATTAATTTATCAAGAATTGAAATGGGCTTATAACCTTTCTGGAGGACACTCTAAAAAACTGAAAGAACATGAAAAATCCCTGCACTTTTTAATTCAGTAAACTTTAGAAATTTATTCCTAGGAAATGATTGGAGACACGCTGAAAGATATAAATAAAAGAATAACGGCACAGTTTACAACAGCAGAAAATACTGAAAGCAGCCCAGATACTACTTAGCCACAAATAGTGTTCAATTAATAATTTAAGACAATGAAAAAATGCTCAGGGTAAAATACAAGTAAGAAAAAAACATATACAAAACTACATGATGAGTGATGCCAATTCTGTCCTAAGAAAATATCCGCATGTTTAAAAATAATCAGAAAAGTAACTATGAAAGTAATTGGAAGAAAGTACATCATAATTTATCAGTTCACTATACTACATACAGTGGTACTGTAGGTGCTTCTTGTTCCAAATTTTAATCCATGATCACGTATTACTTGCATCAGATGCTGAATTAATCATCTATCAGGAATATTTTGAAAGAAATTGATATTGAATAGTAAAATGGGCAATATGACTTCCAATGTCCCTTCTAATTCAAAGACTCTACAACTCTAGTAAAACTTTCTACAACTAATTTAAAAATCAATAAGCCTCTGCTGAGAACAGAAAATCTAAAGTTAAGCTTTCAAAGGACTGACAGCCAAGAATGACATTAATTTCTGAAGGAACAACAATATCCTCTGGCTAATAGCTCTTTTCTTAGATAGAAAATGGGCAGTGAACCCAAATGAGCAGTGGCAAGCAAAACAAACAGAACAAAATTAGAATGAATCTGCAAATGCCCAAAAGAAGCAGGAGGAGGAGGAAGGAATAAAGTTCTTCCCCTTATTTTTACCAAAAGGGCTGTTGTCTAGATGATGACATTAATCTGTGATTAATGTAGTGTAGTAATTAATGACTACAATCACAAAAGTTACCTAACATTTTAAAACCTGGTGTATTACAAACCAGAGAAGGGTGGGGTAGTAATGGGGGCAGTGTGGCATTAAGCAAGTCTCTGTTTCTTTAAAAAGAATATCTGATTTTATCAATTTGATTAACACCAGGATTAAGTGACCTCTGGTAGGTAAACTACAATGGCAATTTTTACCTACCTCTGGTAGGTAAACTATAATTGCAATTTTTATCTAAGAAAAGTAAAACATGAAAAACAGAGTTAATTGCAAACCACCAACTCAGATTCACAACAATACTATATATTATCACCTTGCAGTTCAAATATCCATTTTATCCATTTTAAGTTAAATAAGACAGTTTCATGAAATAATTATGATAAAATCATAGATTAGAAATCTATAACTCAAAATTAAGGAAAACCATTCCCCTTGTGATAACTAAAGGTAGCACTGCTACAAAAAAACCACCATAGAATTTCATATACTTTTAACCAGAGATAAGAATGTGTAAAAAAAATATGTAATAGGATATGATAACTAACATTTGGATCAGAATATATTCGTATAATTGCAAACAAAGAGAAAATAAATACTAAAATATATATTACTCAAAATATTCAGAGAAATCAGTAAGACATTCCTGTTTCACAGTATTTTATCTATTTATATGCATATAAAATACAAATATATGTATATATTTATTCATACACATATATGTATACATATACCATACCACCTTTCTTGCTAGTTATATGACACATTAAAGATAGTTAAAATGAAATAATTATGATAGTTTTCCTATGGTTAGAATATCACAGGACTTGGAAAATAATGTTTGGCTGTATAGAAAGATCAAGAAAACACAACTTACAGAACCTGATCAAAATACATAGTTTATTCCTTTTTGTTTTTAATAAATGAATGATAGACAAAAAGAGAAAAAATGAAAGTCCTAAAGACTATGATTTCCCCAGCAGTTATCATAAATAAAAATAATCTCTTTTTTCAAATTTAAACACAAATGTATTAACAAAAAAAAAAAGGAAAGAAAAATACTATCCTTTTAAATAGGGTAAGTATTAAATATTTACCCTTGTTTGTACAGGATTCATTCTATCAGAAAAACATGGCAGAAACTAGCACCTGAAAAGTATTCATGGTGTTCAAATTAGTATATGAAAAAATACACATTAAAAAAATTAAAATGCCCGATATGCTAGAAACAGTTCAAATATGATCAAAGATATACTATGTGCAGAATGACTGCATAAAACCTGTTTTCCCTATTTATTATTATCTAACCCACAAATCATTTTTGAGGCAGTTTTACTTGACCACCACCCATTTCCTATTGTGACAAGTGATTCAATACCCAAGTATCTTTAACCGTTTTTTTAATGTTGTAAAATTTAAGGCCCTCCTACCTAGATAAATGCATAAAAATATAAAGTAAATCAGTATTTCTTTAACAACTATAGCATCTGAAAATTAATAGCCAAATTTTTAAAAACCTGCTTCCTCCTTAAAAGCAACAGCAAAAAAATCCCCCAAAAACCTCCCTTAAATATCTCCCTTTAAAAATGGCATCTGAAAAATAAACATGCTCAAGAAACACTAATTCATGTATATTCTGATAAGAAATAGCAATTTACAATATTTTAAACATTTTGAAAAGGCAGCACATTCTTCTGCGTGTTGCAAAAGACTCCAGATCTGCAACCATGCTGCAGTCATGAATAAACATATTCCTCCGAAGTTCTAAGTATGTGTGGCCATATCAAGGGCACATCAGATTTGAAATGGATTTACATTACCTCCAACTTTAGGGCCACCTGCTGAACCAGGCTTCCTTGCACTGTTGACTGGATTTCCGGATGCTTTAGGTGCAGGAACCTTGAAGGCTGAAGAAGCTGATGATGGCCTATTTCCATCCACTGATTCTTCATCATCAAAGCTTTTATCTGTACAAAGCATTAGGAAAATGTATTTTAAGATAACTAAGCTTTGTTCCATTTTCCATAAGACTGAAAAATCAAATAAAGCTATATATAAAAATCATAACTTTGTGATATTATACAATAAAGCTCCTTTGAATAAGCATTTATATATTGTCTAACACTATATAAAATAACCCAGTGTAATTTAAAATCAGATTGCAATGTTATCATATTTACTCCCTGTATCTATAAAGTCAAAACATTAAACCAAATATATTAACTCTAAAGATAAAAAAAGCATTCTTCTTTTTTTTGCTGCTAATATAAGCATTTTCTGTCAGCTCCTCCCACAGTGCATCTTTCAGCACACCCTGCCTTATTCCTTATACCCAGATTCTGCAACTTACAATCACAGATCCGTTTGCAAATCAGTCGCCTCATTCCTCTGAAAGCTCTTAATTTTCCTCCCCCTAGGATGCTCCCAATGGTTCACATGGCCAAATACAGTAGATTTGATACTAATCAAAGATTCTATCAAAAATAGATAGAAACAACCACAGAACCACCACTGAGGTTTGTGCCGGCATTTTTCTTTCTCTTCCCTGCCCTAGGTACTGTAACAGCCAATCAGCTACAAGGTGACATCATCTTATGGCAGCTACTGCCAGACGAAAGGTAAAAATTCTCCATGTATTTAAAAAATTCTCTATGCAGCTGCAATCTTTATTCTGTATCAAAATTTCAAAGGCATTCAATTCTAAAGGTTTATAAACCTAAATTTGTATTCTCTTATTTGGCTAACATAAAAACTTATACAAATAGGAAATAGGGTTTTATGCAATATTCATTCTGCTGATGTGCTTATTATTGCATCAGTAGAGCATGGGATATCACAGTGCTCATTAGTGCGCATAATTAACTCTGTCATCTAACAATTTACTGTTTATTTAAGTCACAGAAACCAAACTGAACAATTTGTTTTCATAAATGACTCAAAAATATTCTATAAAGCTCCTTTCAGAATATTTATGAATGACCACACTAGTATCATCTCCTTGTATAAAATGAAACACCTCTATCTCCACCCCCACCCCACCCTCACAAGATGTATGCATTTTACTTGTCTGAGAAGTTGGTTTTCTCTAGGACCCTGCACAATCCAACCATGACAAACAAGATGGGCGAGGCAGAAGAGGCAGCTTTACCACAGGCTTCAGATCAATACACTAGAATCTTTTCCTTTCAATCTGCTTCCCTTACCTACACAAATACCCAAATCACGGAGGAATAATCGTTCCTATAATATTAAATATATATATTTAAAGGAAATACACCCAATGAGTATTAAAAGATTATTTAAGTAGAAACAAGAGAATCAAATATAAAGCCACATTCCTTTTCAGCAAGTGTTTTTTCTTAAATAGCATGACTTGTAGGAAAACAATTATCTTCTAGTTAAAAAAATAATTTTTCTTTCTTAGCATTAACACTATTAAGGGAGTCAGTTTGGATTTTGTAAAACTCGTGCTCTATGTAGACTACTATGATAAAAACACTAATACAATTCCATATAAACTTTTTTTGTCACCACCATGTTAAAAATGTAGCTAAGAGAGACAGAAGACATACAAATCTACGGAAAGATGAGGACTGAATAACTGAGTAGCCAGAAGTTCCCATGGAAACAGTGCTCTGTTCCTACAAACACACAAGAATCGAAGAGTAAATGTCTCTACTATCTTAAAAAAAATTAACTCTTAACCTTCTCAAACTACTGAGAAATTAGTTTTTAACTTCTTATCAAAATTAGGCAGAGAAAAGTAGAGAAATCATAACTATGCAGGCTCAGTGAATTTTCACAAAATTAACATTCCAGTGTAACCATTCTCCAGAGCAATCAATTATTGTAAGCATCTTGCGAGCACCCTCGCCAAACCCCTCAAAGTCACTAGTTCCTACCAAAGCTAACTAGTCTTGACTTTTAACACCATAAACTGGCTTTGCCCATTTGTGAACTTCATATAAAAGGAATTATACAATAGGTACTCCGGTACTTGGCTTCTTTTCACTCAATATGATGTGTGGAAGATTCATTTTCATTATAGTCTTCTAGTGGATGAATGTACCACAACTTATTAATATCCATTCTACTCTTGATGGACATTTGAGTTGTTGCTAGTTTGAGATTATTATAAAATAGTACTCCTGAGAGGTAAGCAAACAAAGTTAAAGTATTTCAAGGCTTTTTACCATTACTGTGGAAGTAGTCAACTTCCCTAGGTAATTTATTTTAGATTGCAGTAAGTCAAAGGTGTATTGCAATACATTGTAACCTCTAGAGCAGGAGTGCACAAACTGTGGTCCAGGACCAGCAGCTGAGCACCACCTGGCAATGTGTCAGAATGCAAATTCTCAGAGGCTACCCCAAATCTACTGAATCAGAGACTCTGGAAATGGGGGACCAGCAATCTGTGTATTAGCAAGTCTTAGTAGTGATTCTGATGCATGATCAGATTCTGATACAGCAGGAGTTGGCAAACTTAGTCTATAAAGGGCCATATAATAAATATTTTAGGCTTTACAAAACACATGTATATAGCCTCTGTGCAACTACTCAATTATACCAATGTAAGCGCCAAAGCAATGATACACATTATGTAAACAGATGGGTGTGGCTGTTTCAATGAAATTTTACGTATAGAACAGAAAGGCATCTGAATTTGGCCTGCAAGCAATAGTTTGCCAATTCCTGCTCTAGAGAGACCACTAAAATAAGAATAAGTGTATACATAAATAAACTAATAAAAGAAAACTAAAATAAAAAAATTGATTAACTGAAAAGAAGCAGGAAAGGAGACAAAAAGGAAGCTAAAACAAGTGGATAAAATAATAGATAAAGTGGCAAAAATAAAACCAAATATATCAATAACTACCTTAAATATAAATGAACTAAATATTCCAAGAAAAAGACCAAGACAGAATTTTTAAAAAAGGTTGCTTAAATGAAATATACTTTACATATAAGGTCACATTAAAATAAAAAAAAGTGATAGAGACAGAGACAGACCAATGCAAACACAAAGCAAAAGAAGCTGGTATAACTACACTAACTTCATACAAAGCAGCTTGAAGAGATATTACTAGAAATAAAGAGACTTTTAACAATGATAAAGGCATAAATCCAAAACCCTAAATCAGAATCCTAAATTTTTAGGAACCAGTAACACAGCTTCAAACACATGAAGCATAAAAATGAAAAACCAAAACGAAAAATAGGCAAATCTACAATAACAGAGAGAAATAAACTTTTATCCATATCCAATAAAATTATATTTTTTTGGACTAGAAGCTAAAAGAATGCATTAAACTACATCATCACAAGCCTCCCATTAAAAATAGCTTGCAATTTATTTAGAGGTTAGAAATATGCTAGGCTTAAAAATATTTTTTTTTCTTTTTTATGTCTTATCTTTTAATGTATTAAAAATATCAAGTCTATATTAAATCTCAGGTACTTATTTATTTTTATAATCTGTATACTAAAATACATCTGTGTTATTTTGAGGTAGGGTTGAGGCATACACTAAAAGAATATACTCCTTTTATTAAAAGTATTTTCCTAATAATTATATAATACCAGAACAAATCAGTTATATTTCTTCCTAGCACTTCTCATTTCCTGAAATAGATACTCTTATGAGTGAACTAAAAGCTGGACTAAAGTAGGTAGAACTTTTTCTTATTTATGCTATAATCCTGTTACCTACAACAATCCCAAAATAACTATCATAGCTAACTCTTCTTCCTGCTTCCTACCCTTGCCCACACCCTCTAATTTTTTTTCAACATAATGTGTCCACATCACATCACTGCTCAAAATCCTCCTAGGACTCCATAAAAAGGCCCACGAGGACTCCAGGACCTATGAGATCTTAGATACCACACAGCTTTCTATAACCTCATCCTCTATCCACTATCCTTGTCTCTCTGCAATCTGGCCTCCCCAGGCTCCTCGCTGTGACTCCTACAGGCTCTACACTGGTTCCCTTTGCCTAAAGTACCTTTCCCCTTCTTAGCCACACTGTTTACTCATCTCCTTCAAATCTTGACTCATCCTTTACTTTCTCAAATTGGTCATACCTGGATACTAAAATTGTAACCTTCCAAAATTCTGACACTACTGTTCTATCCCTACACAACCATCCTTTATTTTTTCCCGTAGCACTTAACCATTTATATATTTTACTTATTTTATTATTTCTCTCCTTCCCCTGAAATGTACTGTCTATTAGGGTGAGAACTTTCGTCTGTTTTGCCAACTGCTGTATCTCCCACATGTGGAACAATGCTCAGAATGGCATATTAAGTAGTATAGAGACTTTTGGTCCCTAGTAACAGCATCAGTAGGTTATTTGAAACAAAACTCTAAGGCAAACAAACTATACCCATGGAAAAAAGATACATTTAAAAATATCCCCTGAAAAACAATAAATACCTGACAAAATAGCAAGAGATATAAGAATGAAACTTCTATATTTGAATTTTTATTCTGAATGCCTGTGGGGCAAAGGGAACAAAATTCAAAACCCACATAAGATCCAGACTCTAACAGGAGAGTCTTCCCACCAAAAGCTGGTGTACCAAATGTGTATACAGTTGCCCTTGAACAACACAGGTTTGAACTGCACTGGTCCACTTATATGTGGATTTTTTTTCAATAAATATCTGTACTGTTTAGATCTGTACTTGGGAGTCCACAGATGTGGAAGGCTACTGCATACATTCATCTACACCATTTTATATAGAAAACTTTGGCATCCAATTTTGGTATCCACAGGGGTCCTAGAACCAGTCCTCCTTGGACACTGAGGAGAGTTAAGTTTTAGGGGAGTCAAAGGTTACATGCACATTTTCGACTGCATGGGGGAACTGCATGTTCAAGGGTTAACTGTACTCTCAAGGTTAAAGTGAACCATAAGTAAGCCCTTAACTTCTAGTAGTCTTTTATTCTTTTCAAACTTTTC